CCTTTGTCCATCAGACTATCAGAGGCTTTTCCTTGCACTGTGTCTCCCTTGCCTTTGTGCCCTAGAAACACCAATATGATATTTGACCTTGTCTCTCTAACATCTGACTATAAAGGAAGGAAGCTGGATCCATAAAATGAGTGGATTGGCTTCCCTGCCATGTTGTGGCCTCTCCCCTCTTAGTCCTTCTTCACACTGCTCAGCCAGCCAGTAAGTGTCCCTGTCCAGCCCTAACTCATATCCTGAGTCTGTTCTTTCTTTTTTCTTTTCTTTTTAAAAAAACTTTTGGCTGCATCGGGTCTTAGTTGTGGCACATGGGATCTTTCGTTGCAGCACGCGGCTCTCCAGTTGTGGCACGCAGGCTCAGTTGCCCCACAGCATGTGGGATTTTAGTTCCCCAACCAGGGATCGAACCCATGTCCCCTGCATTGGAAGGCGGATTCTTAACCACTGGACCACCAGGGAAGTCCCAGATGAGTCTGTTGTAATGCTCTCCCGTCTCCTTTTTCAGGTTCTCTTGACTATCTCAAACCACCTTGAGCTCATCATGAATAACAGAATTTTCCCCCCCATTTGAGTGAACAGTCCTGTCATCCAAACAAGTTTGAAATCCAGATTCAGTCTTTGGTCATAATACTCCACACACAGTGCTGAGAAATTGTGACTGCATCACATAAGCCTGTTCAGATGTCTGGGTGTCTCTCTTTTGCAACTGTGTTCCAATGTTATGAGTGTTTCTATACAGGCACCATTTTGCCATGCATCTTTTATCCATTGTCTTCATGCGCTGATGATTGCTGGGTAGTTGATTATTTTATAAGCTATTGAAACATTTGTACCTACTTCTATTGCTATTTCTGCATTTCTTAGCTAGAAATCCTGTATAAAGAAAACTTTTCCATAATTTTCTATTTGGCTACCTCAAAATACATTTTGTACAGAAAAGGGAGGAAAGAGCTAGATCTGTTCACTCCAGCAATTTTCAGGATAATTATTTGGAGCACTATCACCCTCCTCAAACAATAACAAATGTTTATCTCTCGAGGGTAAGATGCCCCTTTTGCACACATGCTCAGACTGTGATTGTGGCAGCCAGTGTCCTAGTAGGAAATAGCATTTAGTTAAGTTGCTCTTCTTTTCCGATAAGTCTCATATTTTAAAATTAATTGTATTTGTCTCAGTCCATTTGAAACTGCTATAAGAAACCACCATAGACTGGGTGGCTTATAAACAGCAGACATTTATTTCCCACAGTTCTGGAAGCTGGAAGTCCAAACTCAAGGTGCTGGCAGATACAGTGTCTGGTGAAAGCCCATTTCCTAGTCCATAGACAGACTTCCTTCTTGCTATATCCTTCCATGACAGGAGGCGATGGGAAATTTCTAGGGCCTCTTTTATAAGGACGCTAATTCCATTCATAAGAGTAGAGGCCTCATGAGCTAACCGCTTCCCAAAGTGCCACATTTCCTAATAGCATCACGTTAGGCATTAGGTTTTGAACATATGAATTGAGGGAGACACAAACGTTGAGATCATAGCAGTATCTATTTCAGGAAATTGAGTTAGAAATATTTTATGGAAAAAATAGGGACTTCCTTGGTGACGCGTGGTTAAGAATCCACCTGCCAATGCAGGGGGCTCGGGTTCGATCCCTGGTCCGGGAAGATCCCACATGCCTTGGAGCAACTAAGCCAGTGCGCCACGACTACTGAGCCCGTGCTCTAGAGCCCGTGAGCCACAACTACTGAAGACTGTGCGCCTAGAGCCCAAGCTCCGCAACAAGAGAAACCCCTGCTCGCCACAACTAGAGAAAGCCCGTGCTCAGCAACAAAGCCCCAACGCCACCAAAAATAAATAAATTTTAAAAATAATAAATAAATAAATGGGAAAATAGCTGGGCTAGGGACTTCCATGGCTGTCCAGTGGTGAAGACTTTGTCTTCCAATGCAAGGGGTGCAGGTTCGATCCTTGGACAGGGAACTAAGATCCCACATGCCTCTGGGCCACAAAATGTAAAACATAAAACAGAAGCAGCATTGTAACAAATTGAGGGACTTCCCTGGCGGTCCAGTGGTTAAGCATCGGAGCTTCCACTACAGGAGGCACGGGTTTGATCTCTGCTCAGGGAACTAAGATCCCGCATGCCCTGTGGTGTGGCCAAAAAAACAAAAACAGAAACAAAGAAACATTGTAACGAATTCAATAAAAGACTCTAAAAAATGGTCCATGTCCAAAAAAAAAATTTTTTTTTTAAATATAGCTGGGTGCTTCCCTGGTGGTGCAGTGGTTAAGAATCCGCCTGCCAATGCAGGGGACACGAGCTCAAGCCCTGGTCTGGGAAGATCCCACATGCCACAGAGCAGCTAAGCCTGTGCGTCACAGCTACTGAGCCTGCTCTCTAGATCCCGCGAGCCACAACTACTGAGCCCGCATGCTGCAACTACTGAAGCCCGTGCGCCTAGAGCCCATGCTCCGCAACAAGAGAAGGCACTGCAATGAGAAGCCCGTGCACTGCAACTGAATAGCCCCTGATCACTGCAACTAGAGAAAGCCCACGTGCAGCAATGAAGACCCAACACAGCCAAAAATAAATAAATAAAATAAATAAATGTATTATATATATACATATATATATGTATATATATATACATACATACATACATACATACATACATACATACATATATATATATATATGTTAGCTGGGCTTGCTGGGGTTTCAGCACAAGCACTGAGATGTACCCATGCAGGAATTAATTATTTTGTGTGGGAAGCGGGCAGAATGCCTCATCATCTACTTCCTTATGGGCCTCATTACAGCTGTCATCCATTTCCCCTGTCATGATCCTTGCTGAAATCTTTTCTTTCTTATCCCTTTGTTACTGGCCAGGGTTCTTGGCCTCCTTAATCAAAACTGATCAGAGGCCAGACAAGAAATTCAGACAAGACTTTGCTGGGTCTCATGCTGCAGCACTAGGGAGCAGAAAAGCAAGTAACAGTTTCCCTTGCTTGCTCCTTGATGTGGGGGTGAGCTGGTCCCTTAAAAGGGATGAGGGTAGGAAGAGGGTTGAGGGTTGGAACGGAGGTATGGATTAGGTGGTCTGCCCACGCCCTTGGTGGTGCTTTGTGCAGGGCTCATGCACAGTACCCTGCTTTTGCTTCCGACACCTCAGAAGTGGCAGTTGGGTTTTTGGTCTTTTGTATCTTGCCGTTCATAATTTGCCCTAAAGCGCATGTACACAGTTATTTTTAGTCCCTTGTAGTTTCTTTGTATCTGTTGCTTGAGGAGATGTTCATCCAGGTGCAAGCACTACAGCAAAGTGTCCCAGGTCCCAGGTCACAGCCTGTCTCACCTTGAATGCATACACTGACGCCTACAAAATTATCTCTAAAGTTCTGATCTATAGGAAGTTGGAGAGTAATAAGATAATATTTTTTGGTTGCCAACTGTTGAAAGCAGGCATTTTGTGACTTAGTGACACTGCAGTGTGTGCATCAAGGTTTTTCTTTGGGCTCAGACATTATATTGTAGACAATATACAATATAATGTCTCCCCTTAAAGGGATTATGTTTTCCAAAAATAGAAGGGACAGAATAAATATGAAGATATTTGGATAATAACATAAACTTAAATTTATAATTTATGTTAAAGCACTTTCACTTTTTGTAAAATAAATCTTCTGTATATGTTCCAAACATACTTTTTTTTTTTTTTTTTTTTGCGGTACGCGGGCCTCTCACTGTTGTGGCCTCTCCCGTTGCGGAGCACGGGCTCTGGACGCGCAGGTTCAACGGCCATAGCTTACGGGCCTAGCCGCTCCGCGGCATGTGGGATCTTCCCCGACTGGGGCATGAACCCATGTCCCCTGCATCGGCAGGCGGACTCTCAACCACTGCGCCACCAGGGAAGCCCCCCAAACATACTTTTGAAGAGCTTCATGAATTTAAACATTTATAGAAAGCAAAGTTTTTCTATTGTCCACCTGTTTAAGGGACACCCAACCTCTTCTTCTGCAACATCCTAGTAATGGCCATGTGTGAAGTCGGTTCTCTCTAGACCCTGAGCAAACACGCTGAAACGCACAGAACTGTGAAACTTCAGTCTGCATATATTTGAACAGTAGCAAGATAAAGTTTATTAGTTCACATCTATGACTGTAGGTACTTTATATCTGCGTGATATCATGATATCCTCGGAGCAGGCTCAACCAATCAGGAGGAGAGCCCAGAGAGAGAGAGAGAGAGAGGCCCCCAAGACAAGGTCGGGCAGCGGGGGGCGGGGAGTACACAGGCAGATGTCATGAGGGAATTTCATTGGTGCCTTGTAATGTCACTAGGTCACAAGGGAGGACAAGGGGAGCTTGTGTCAGGGGCCACAGCCTCATCACTCTGGTGTACTCAGTCATCTGGGCGGGGTGCTCACAGACTGTGGCGATGGGAGGCAGCAGAATACGAAGTTTAAAAAGTTTACCATACAGTATGTCCACTTGCTCAGTTTGGAGCATCTTAAATGACAAGATACAGGAAACACAACAGGGAAACTGGCTGTGTCCCCTTTAGAAACATCCAATGCCTCGCCTCCTTCGTTGGAGCCTCTGTAGGCCCTTTGCCAGCTCCAGTCTCCCGCCTCTGGAACACTGGCTCCAAGGAGCAGACTCCCATTCCCAAGCGGATGCTGGACAAGAACTACATTACCCTGAAGGCTATGCTCCGCGGAATGGCTGTGAGCGCCGCTCTGATGACGTCACAGAAAACTGGCGTTAGTGGCTCGCGTTGTCAGGAGTGGGACTTCCTGTGTCGCCAGGGAGGCCGTTTGTTCGTGATGGGGCAGTTGTGTCTCTATCTTAGGTGACTTCTACCCGGGTCGTCGGGACGGAGCGGGGAGGACAGCCTGGAGGGCCCACCTGCGCCTTTGTACGACCTGCGGGTGGGTCAGCTAAGTCCGCTGGACCCGCCGGTCTCCGGCGCCCTCACGTGGTCCTACACTCCCCGCGGTGAGATGGCGGCGCTGATGACCCCGGCGCAGGTGAGTGGACGGTGCGCCAGGCCACGCCCGCTCGGACCCCACCCACGTGGCCGAGGCGCGCTGCTGTGCAGGATGGTGGTGTCCTGTGAGTCGTCACCTTGTCCTCCCCAGGGCATTGTTTGTCGGAGCCTCGGGATGGGGTCGCTTGTGCTCCGGGTGGGAATCCAGGTTAGGGGCTTCACACGGAGGGTCCCATTTCTGTCAGTTAGTGAGTGGGGCGCTGTGTGGTAGGGAGAGATGTGGCTTCTCGAATCCCCCTGACCCCATACCGCTGGCGTGGAAGGACCCTTAGGGAGGAGCGCAGGCCGCACAGTCCGGAGACCTTTCTGTGTGTTGCGGCCCCGCCCCTTCCCGAGTCTAGGACCTTGAGCAGCTTTCCCTGCTGTTCTTGGTTATGTTTTGTTTTGTTTTTCTTGGCTGCGTGGTGAGGCATGCGGGATCCTAGTTCCCCGACCAGGGATGGAACCCGTGCTCCCTGCATTGGGAGCGCGGAGTCTTAACCACTGTACCTCCAGGGAAGTCCCTGTCCTTGGCTTTTATGCTAAAGTTCCTCCAACTGGGTTGAGGGAACTAGAAAAACCACATAAGTGACGTGTATCCCCCCGAGTACAGCACGGTGCAGGGAGCATCGCTCTGGCTCTCTTTCCACGGAGGTGCCTCCTGAGCCTTTGTTGATCTTAGAGGCTCATCCCTGGGGGAATCTGACCCTTGGGCTTCCCAGCTGTGTAACCACTACAAAGATAAGGGCTGGGGTGGGGAAGAGGCAGGAGTAGCCTGCAGCAGCTTGGGGATTGCAGCCCTGCTAGGACAGAAAAGGTGTCAGGACAGGCAGGGCGCCCAGAAGGCCAAGGAATTTGTCTTTCAGTTTACAGCCAGTGGAACTGGCTTACCATTGAATCTGTTTTCCTGTTTGAGGCTCAGTTACATATGGTAAGTGGTGATAGTGTGCAGGAGTGTGGTGTCCGTTTGGACATGAAAACACAAGAGGTCCTGGGTAATTTCATAGCCGTGGCCCTGAGTACCCTCATCATAGTCCTGATCGCTGTCAGGACTTGTCTTATTTGTTAACTTCCCATTCACTTGGCTCCTTCCTCACTTTATTTCAGACTCAGTCCAGTGTGCTGTCCTGAAACAGGCTTTCCCTGGTGCCCTGTCGAAAGCAGACTGTGACCTCTTGTCTTCTCGCTCTATTTTCTTTCCTTTTTTCTTTATTTTTTATTTTTAAAATTTATTTATTTTATTTTTAACTGTGTTGGGTCTTCGTTGCTGCATGCAGGCTCTCTCTAGTTGTGGCCAGCGGAGGCTACTCTTGGGTTGTGTGGGCTTCTCATTACGGTGGCTTCTCTTGTTGTGGAGTACAGGCTGTAGGTGTGCGGGCTTCAGTAGTTGTGGCTCACAGGCTCAGTAGTTGTGGCACACGGGCTCTAGAGCTCAGGCTCAGTAGTTGTGCTGCATGGGCTTAGTTGCTCTGTGCAGCACTTGGGATCTTCCCGGACCAGGGCTCAAACCCCTGTCCCCTGCATTGGCAGGCGGATTCTTAACCACTGCACCACAAGAGAAACTCTATTTTCTTGACTTTGGAATCTTTGGGTCCCTCTGACATTGTCTTGCTCATTTATATCGTTGCTTGTTTAGCATCTCTTTCCAGCCATGGACTGTGAGTGCCTGTTGTTGCTCTCTGCCAAGACCTAGAACAGCCTGGGCTTGTAAAGGGCACTCAATAAATGGTTAAATGAATGAATGGGTCTGCCACTCAGGTGCTCCCATCACACTCATAATAAGTACAACCTCCTGCACTGTGGCCCACAGGCCTGTACTGGATCTGCCCCGTGACTTCCTCCATGCTTCTTCCTCTCCCCTTCTTCCCTTACTCACCGCACTCAGCCAGGAGGTCCTGAACTTGCAAAATTCCTGCCCAATTTGCAGCTTTTCCCCTTGCATTTTCCTTCATCTGGAGCCCTATTCCCAGATCTCTGCAGGGCTGTCTCTCCCCACCCTTCCTGTGCATCACTGTCACCTCTTAGGACAGTCTTTTCCTAGCTGTTTTAATTCAAGCTAAGGTACCCCTTGCTCCCACCTGCCCATCTTCTGGCAACTCTGTGCCATCTTTTGCTGGCTGGATGTTCAATTCCCATTTCTGTTCCTCTCTCCCTCTCTCTGTCTCTCTCTCCCTCTCTCTCTCTCTCTCTCTCTCTCTCTCTCTCTCTCTATATATATATATATATATATATATACAACAAAATTTTAATTATGTATTAAAAATAAATTACAGGAAAGAACTTTAAAATGCTACAGAGGACAAAGTCATGATAAACATTCCCATTGAATTCCCTTGGGGGTGGGGGGGGTGAGATTGCAGTGCTCAAGAAGATAAATATCACAAATATATCAAAAACTTCAAATTGTCTCTGCATTCACACACTGACATGAGCCACAAACATTCCTTCACAGTGACTGTACTCATTAGCCTACCACAGAACTAGATTTTGTCATAAACTACAAAACTTTTAATACAAAATCGTGTTTATATATTTATAATTCATATACATGCCCTATCTGCGATTTTAGAAAATAAAAGCTGCACACTGTATAGATACTCTTAACTCATAGCTGTAGGCAAAATTTTTGGTTGGAATTTCTCCCCCAATAAAATTAATGGCATATTTTATGTACATGAAGGCTAAACTGCGTAAAGACAGTTCAGTTTCCCAGATATGCATCTCCTTTTAGGACAGGTTTATAAATTTTAAAAGGCAAGACAAATGTACACCTCAGAGTCATTTTCTTAGCTACAAGAGTTATCATGTAATTTCTGTGAAGTTTCTGATACATGCATTTATGTAATACTGGTATTGAAGGCAGTAAAGCAATATGTACTTTTAATGTCGTGGCTCAATAAAGGCTCCATTGTCATTCCAATCTGACTCTTGATACAGTGATTCATAACTTCTCTAAAAATTAAAATTTCAATGGGACACTCTGTTAAAGAGACTCTAAATAGATTTCTTAAAATATTTCCCTGAAATATCCTTTACATAAGACAGATTTCACTAACATTAGATTAAGTAAAAAGGGGAAAAAAAGAATTAAACATGGCACAAGTGTGCATGAAAACTAATGCACAGTTAGTCTTCATGTCTTAGGAGCCATAAATAGAATGCTTAAAACCAACAAACAAGTTCACACTCTGTGGCAGCCATCTGTGAAGCCAGTTATACTAAACTACTTCTACAGTTGATTGTAAACTTTGGTTTATTTTTATTTGAGTTCTCATTGTACAGGAAGCATGAAAAGAAGAAAGAGTGGAGTCCATGAGGAGATGAACTGTAAGTCAGTCTTTAATCTGGCATGATGAGACAGCTGGTCAGTCAGACCTGCTTTGATAGAGTTTGTTACAGACTGCCTTATGTTTTCCTCTGTCAAATTATCACCCAGGGGCTTCAATACCTGTTCCCATAGTGTTTCAGCAATCTGATCAATCATTGTTCAAATTTCTCTGAACTCACCAAAGTATGTAACATATGCCCAAGTACAAAGAGGCCTCAGTGCTAACCCCATGACAAGGTTACACAGACGGCTATAGAGTTTAGGCCAACGAAGCCAGTCAGTCCTGAGATTATATACATAGCAAACATGACTGCAAACAGTGTGGCAGGTGTATGAGCAGCATAGAAGATATTTTTGCCATCATTGTGCTTTATAAAATTTGCATAGGTTTCTATTTTAGCCTCAAGCTCGTCCTGATAACGACGGTAGAATTCATCTCCACCCATTTTTTTTTTAATAAATTTATTTATTTTTGGCTGTGTTGGGTGTTCGCCGCTGCACACGGCCTTTCTCTTGTTGCGGTGAGCGGGGGCCACCCTTCGTTGTGGTACGCGGGCTTCTCACTGTGGTGGCCCCTCCCGCTGCGGAGCACAGGCTCTAGGCGCGTACTTCAGTAGTTGCAGCACACAGGCTCAGTAGTTGTGGCCCACGGGCTCTAGAGCACAGCCTCAGTAGTTGTGGTGCATGTGCTCAGTTGCTCCACGGCATGTGGGATCTTCCCGGACCAGGGATTGAACTCGTGTCCCCTGCATTGGCAGGCGGACTCCCAACCACTGTGCCACCAGGGAAGCCCTCCACCCATTTTTTTTACTGAACGAAACTGTTTAATCGCCACTTCCTTGAGATCCAGGTGTTTTTCGCTTCCAGATCTAAAGGTGCAATGTAAGGCTTGTCCCCACCGCCTACTTTCTCTCTTGCTCCTGCTCCTGCAACAAAATTATTAGCTTAAGCTGTTGCGTGAAGCATGGACTTTTTACATAAATTTTAATGTAAGCCTTAAAGTATTCTACAAGATCTCTACAAGTGACTTTCGTCTCTTATCTCTTTTGCTACCAAATTTTCTGGGGCAAGTAGCACTGGAACCAGATTTCAAAGCTCTTGTTTAAACTCTTCATCAATATCTTTCAATCTCCCATCAAAACTAGGATGGGCTTCCCTGGTGGTGCAGTGGTTGAGAGTCCGCCTGCTGATGCAGGGGACATGGGTTCGTGCCCTGGTCCGGAAAGATCCCACATGCCGCAGAGTGGCTAGGCCCGTGAACCACGGCCGCTGAGCCTGCGCGTCCGGAGCCCGTGCTCCGCAACGGGAGAGGCCACAAAAAAACTAGGATTAGTTGCAACTTTAAGACTAGGATGTGGCAAAAGGAAGCAACCAAGATTTGAGAAACAATTGTGAATGTGCTTCCTTACATTCTGTAGCTCTTCAGGTTGATTTTGTCTTACCTGCAATCTCTTTTCAAGGAATTGTTCTTCACCTTCCAAACGATATGAATGTTCATAAGAATAACTCCAGTTTCGAATCAAAAACATTAATGTCTGAAATGGTTTCTGGTAGATTTCTTTCATTGCAAGTCTGCCGTATTCTGTAAATAATTGCAAGTGTTGAAGATCATCTTCTTGAATATTTTGAGACAAATTATATACCTGGAGAGAGCCATTCATAGTGCTCAGAGCAAACACTGTTGTACAATCTCTGATAGTTGACTGGCTGTCAAAGGCACCCTGGGTATCCATTAGCAGCACAGCCACTTTTGTTCATTCCAGACATATGCCTGTTGTTTCTCTTCGCAACCAACTCGCCATGTAAAGCCAGTCAGTGGTTCATTGTTTCCACCAATCCAACTTTGAGAATCCTTGTTGTACATATATCTAAGCATGAAGTCCAGTAGAAATGATTTCCCTTTACGAAAAGCTCCTGCCACGGACACCACTACTATGTGAAGATCTCTTATGTGCTCCTGTAGCAATATCTGCTCCAAAGCTTCTTCATCAAGCTCAAAATTACGGTCATCTTCATGTGCAAGAACAATCTGTACTGGAAATAGTTTCTTCATAACCTCATCAGAGTTTACTAGGTCGTCGTCTTCTTAATTCTCACCTAGGACGGTCGTGGACAAGACGTGGTTAACCCAGGTGTTTGGGTTGCTGGTTCGCCTCTGGCGCCGCAGCCCCTCGTGCAGCTGCTACCTCCGCACTGCCTCGCCACCGCCCCCACCTTTTATTTATTTATTTTTTTTGCCACACGACATGGCTTGTAGGATCTTAGTTCCCTGACCAGCTATTGAGCTTGGGGCCTCAGCAGTGAAAGCATGAAGTCCTAACCACTGAACCACCAGGGAATTCCCCCACTTTTCCTTAAATTTGAGGTTGTGGTTGATTTTCTAGAACTGCCTGAGCCTCAGGCCTCTGGCTGTGACATGGAGGTGACGATGGCATGTACCTTGTGCGCTGTGGATTAGTGAAAGTCACAAAATACACTGAACACTTAACTGGGCCAGGCACTCCACAGAATCTGGTGTGGGAACATTTTCTCTTTAGTTCTAAGAATTGGCATAGTGGGAGTGATTGTTGTATTGATGTGGAAATTGATGCTTGGAGAAATAATGGGATGTCGTCCTCCCCATGATCACACTGCCAGCAAGTGTCTGATTTTTTTTATATATATAAATTTATTTCTTTATTTTTGGCTGTGTTGGGTCTTTGTTGCTGCGCGCGGGCTTTCTCTAGTTGTGGCAAGCAGGAGCTACTCTTCATTGCGGTGCATGGGCTTCTCATTGCAGTGGCTTCTCTTTGTTGCGGAGCACGGGCCCTAGAGCACATGGGCTTCAGTAGTTGTGGCATGCGGGCTCAGTAATTGTGGCTCATGGGCTCTAGAGCACAGGCTCAGTAGTTGTGGCACTCGGGCTTAGTTACTCCGTGACATGTGGGATCTTCCCTGACCAGGGCTCGAACCCGTGTCTCCTGCATTGGCAGGCAGATTCATAACCAGTGCACCACCAGGGAATTCCCGAGTGTCAGATTTAAGAGTCTTCATTCAAACCCCAGAAATCTGGCTCCAGAGCGAGGGATCTTTAGTCACTTTACCACAGCATGTGAAGACCGCAGCCTGGGGCAGGTGCACCGTGAGGACCAGGGAGGCTCAGCACCTGTCACTTTGCTGTTACCATTATTGGAATTATCATCATGAACATTTTTCCCAGAGCACGTACCATCTGCCCCCAGTCCTCATGGAACACCATTGTCTGTGTCATCTCTAGTGGCTTCCTTCACGGGAGGCTTTTCTCTCAGCCACAGCTGCGTTATATCCAGAGGCTGCTTCCAACACAGAACTCGGCGATCAGCAGGCCTCAGTGTTTCAGGCCTGGGTCTCTCTGCATCTTCACCGGCAACAGAGTGACAGGGTTGATCCTATCCAAGTGCAAAAGCCCAACACCACTACCTGTGTTTGACTGTCCAGGTGTTGGTGACCTTCAAGGATGTGGCCGTGACCTTTACCCGGGAGGAGTGGGGACAACTTGACCTGGATCAGAGGACCCTGTACCAAGAGGTGATGCTGGAGATCTGTGGGCTCCTGGTCTCACTGGGTAAGTGCTTAGCTCTCACACCTGTGGGGGACCCCACCCGCCTTGTTTCTGGGCTGATCAAGGTCACAGGGTTCACCTTTCCTCCTCCCCACAGGCCCTGCATTTTTCTGGTCGCTTCTCCTCCTGCCTGGTCTCCCTGTGTCTGTAACAGTGATCGGTGGGATAGAAACAATGTCCTTCTGAACACCAGCCCCCATTCCAGTGCCCAGCACCCTCGGGCCTCAGTTTGAGGTCCTTGTTGCAGATTCCACAGGAGGGAAGCTGACTGGCCCAGCCTGGTGATGTCAGGTGTCCTCACAGCCCAGTTAACAGGGCTTTTCTCAGACGAGTGGGTGAGTGAGGGAGACCCCTACATGGCATTTGTCATCAGTGCCACCCAGGGATCTTCCTAAACAGCACAATCTTGGTTCAAAGGCCCCTCATGTCTATGTCATCATCACATGCTTTCTGAGGCCTGGGCCGTGATCCTCCCCTGGGCAGTAGATCATTTTAGAAGGTGCACAGGAATGTCATGGAATACCACAGGTGGACACCCTGCAAAAGCCAGTCCTTTTATCTTCTCTGTCTGGCACCCTGATTGTTGTCAAGAGAAAGTCTCAGACCAGTGTGAGTGAGTATTCCATGGCCCCCTTTGTGGCTAATTTTTCTGTTCAACAGAGGGACCAGCCTCTAGCTCACAGCCCTGAGCCTTCTATGTGAACTTGCTAGGACCTTAATGCCATTATTGTGACTTCAGCGTTGTGGGGTTTTTTTGTTTTTTATTGGAGTATTCCCAGGGTCCCGTGGCTGTGTGTGAAAATGGCATGCCCCTGCATGGGGCTGGCTTCCACTGATGAAATTTAAGGGAAGTAGTGCTGTGTAGACAGACAGCACCACCCTCTATAGCAGTTGCAGCCCAGGAGTGGTGTTTGTGCTGTTGGATTCCCAGTCGCAGATCAACATTTTCTTTACTTTGGGAACTGCTACATTCATGGTCTTGTTCCTGTCATGAAGTCCCAGATAGGATGGAAGGGTTTCATTCTTCTCATCAAAACACCTGCGTCCTGTTTTTTTCTCCATCCACAGGGCATCCAGTTCCCAAACCAGAGTCGATCCACTTGCTGGAACATGGGCAGGAGCTGTGGACGGGAAGGAGAGGCCTCCCACGTAGCATGTGCCCAGGTAGGAGCCAATAGCTGCTGGGCAGGTGGGTTCACAGCAACCTTGAGAATGCATGGGGACCAGTGCCTCTGAGCTTCTATGTGAAACCCCCTTTGTGGGGTCTGGTGGTTTCTCTCACATCAAAGTATAGTGTGCATCAGCTGGCCAGCTAACACCATTATTTAGAGACCCAGGCACCTTCTTCTTTTTTTTTTTAATTTTTATTTTCTCTTTTTTTTTTTTATTGAAGTACAGTTGACTTACACTGTCGTGCTAATTTCTGCCATACAGCAAAAAGACTCAGTTATACACATATGTAATTCCTTTTTTATATCCTTTTCCATTATGGTTTATAACAGGATATTGAATATAGTTCCCTGTGCTATACAGTAGGACCTTGTTGTTTATTCATCCTGTATATAATAGTTTGCATCTGCTAATCCAAAACTCCCACTCCTTCCCTCCCCACCCACCCTCCTCCTTGATAAACACAAGTCTGTTCTCTATGTCTGTGAGTCTGTTTCTGTTTCATAAGTAGGTTCATTTGTGTCATATTTTAGATTCCACATATAAGTGACATCATATGGTATTTGTCTTTCTCTTTCTGACTTACTTCACTTAGTATGATAATCTCTAGTTGCATCTAGAGACCCAGGCACCTTCTGACGTCAATGTATAGCTCTACGGTTGGTCCAGCATAATCCAGCTGGTGGAGGGGAAACAGCAAGGGATAAGGGACAGGTCACACCCAGATGCACACATACTTTACTCCGCTGTATCCCACAGGCAAGGACTAGGCATTTGGCCGCAGCTGTATGCTCAGGACTGGAGAGTGTGGTTTTGCTCTGGGCCGAAGGAGAAGAGCCAGTGGGCTTGGTTTGTATGACCTCTGTCTACTCACCCTGCTCTCAGGAAGTCAGAGCGAGGCTAGTTTGTATGTGAGTGGGTTGTTTGAAGGTATAATGAGATAATGCAGAAAACTGCTTAGTACAGTGCCTGGTCTATAGAGAGGGTCAACTAAGGTCTGTTCTTACCGTATCCATGTAATTGTATTAATCAAAGTGAATGGTGGTATCACGCATTTTTCCTGGACTTCTAGACTCAGAGGAAAAGGGGCCTTTCTTCCTTGAAGTT